GCAAAATTCTTGTTCAAATCCGTTAAACTATCTAAGATTTAATCAATGTTCATGACATGGAAGAAATTCAATAGGTTGTAGAACAAAATCGTACAAGGAGATTGCAGATAAGCACTGTCATATGAGACTTATTTTAATTTTGCCAGTAATGTCAACCGGCCTATCAAAGTCCAATTGGTGGACTGCCATATGTTCCAATTTCCGTTTACTTTGTAGAGTATTACTCATAAATAGTCCCCCCCTCTCTCCTCCTCCTCCACGCCTAAAGGTGGCTAGGGTTTTCGCCCCTCTAACCAGCGCAATCGCTGATCCTCCTTGCCCACATTGGCTCTAAGGGTCTTGGAGGTGTGACAGGCCCTAGTCCCACTACTAGGGAAAATCTTATACACAGAATCTTAGCAGTAGCGCTGGATAAAATGAGGCGCTGCTGCTACCTAGTAGTAGCGCGTGTCAGTAAGACGCGCTACTGCTATCCTTTTAGCAGCAGCGCATTTTAGCGAAACGCGCTGCTGCTAAGTTTGAACTGGGCGCATATGGCTAGCCTGCTACCTCTTGAGCATGCGTTGGTTTTACCTTGAAGAGGAAAGGGTGATGCAGCAAAGTAGCGTAAGTATTTCTCTCAGTTTTTGAGAACCAAGGTATCAATCCAATAGGAGGCTACACGCAAATCCCTCGTACCTACACAAACAAATAAGAACCTCGCATGCTGAACTCATATACTTATTGAAAAAATTTACAAGTTATCAAAACAAAGTACTACACGCATGCTCCTAGGGGAAGGGTTGGTAGGAGTTAACCATCGCGCGATCCCGACCTCCGCACATAAGGAAGACAATCAATAAATAAATCATGCTCCAACTTTATCACATAACGGTTCACCATACGTGCATGCTACGAGAATCACAAACTTTTAACATAAGTATTCGTTAAATTCACAACTACCCAACTAGCATGACTCTAATATTACCATCCTCATATCTCAAAACAATCATCAAGCATCCAATTGATCATAGCATTCAATGCACTCTATATGATAGTTTTATTATACCCAACTTGGATGCCCATCATATTAGGACTAATTTTATAACCAAAGCAAATACCACGTTGTTCTAAAAGACTCTCAAAATAATATAAGTGAAGCATGAGAGATCGATAATTTCTACAAAATAAAACCACCGCCATGCTCTAAAAAGATATAAGTGAAGCACTAGAGCAAAATTGTCTAGCTCAAAAGATATAAGTGAAGCACATAGAGTATTCTAATAAATTCTGATTCATGTGTGTCTCTCCCAAAAGGTGTGTATAGCAAGTATGATTGTGGTAAACTAAAAAGGAAAAACTTATATCATACAAGACGCTCCAAGCAAAACACATATCATGTGGTGAATAAAAATATAGCTCCAAGTAAAGTTACCGATGGACGAAGACGAAAGAGGGGATGCCTTCTAGGGCATCCCCAAGCTTAGGCTTTTGGTTGTCCTTAAATTTACCTTGGGGTGCCTTGGGCATCCCCAAGCTTAGGCTCTTGCCATTCCTTATTCCATAGTCCATCAAATCTTCACCCAAAACTTGAAAACTTCACAACACAAAACTCAATAGAAAATCTCATGAGCTCCGTTAGTGCAAGAAAGCAAACCACCACTTTAAGGTACTATAATGAAATCATTCTTTATTTATATTGGTGTTAAACCTACTATATTCCAACTTCTCTATGGTTCATACCCCCCGATACTAGTCATAGATTCATCAAAATAAGCAAACAACACACGAAAAACGGAATCTGTCAAAAACAGAATAGTCTGTAGCAACCTGTAACTTTCGAATACTTATGGAACTCTAAAAATCCTACCAAAATAGGAAGTCCTAGGCAATTTGTCTATTAATCTTCTGCAAAATGAATCAACTAAAAAGCACGTTTCTGTGATTTATTAAAATTATTCTCATGCGCGCAAAAGTTTCTGTTTTTCAGCAAGATGAAATTAACTATCATCCAAGATGATCCTATAGGTTCTACTTGGCACAAACACTAATTAAAACATAAAACCACATCTAAACAGAAGATAGATGAATTTTTTATTGAATAACAACAAGGAAAAATATTGGGTTGTCTCCCAACAAGCGCTTTTTTGTAAAGCCTTTTAGCTAGGCATTGATAATTTTAATGATGCTCACATCAAAGACAAGAATTAAAGCACAAAGAGAGCATCATAGAACATGTGATAAACACATCTAAGTTTAACATACTTCCTATGAATGGTCATCTTATAGAAAAAGAAATTGTCATAGCAAGTAAAAACTAGCATATGCAAGGAAACAGAAAGGAACATTAGCAATCTCAACATAACGAGAGGTAATTTAGTAACATGATAATTTCTACAACCATATTTTCCTCTTTCATAATAATTACATGTGGGATCATAAGCAAATTCAACAAAATAGCTATCACATAAAATATTCTCAACACGATCCACATGCATGCAAAGTTGACACTCTTCCAAAATTGTGGGATTAACATTAATTAAAGTCATGACCTCTCCAAACCCACTTTTATCAGAAAATTTCATAAGATTGAACATTCTCCAAATATGTGGGATCTAAAGTTGACACTCTATTATCAATCTCATATTCATCATGGGGCTTAAATAAATTTCAAGATCATAAGAAGAATCACCCCAATCATGATCATTGCAACAAGTAGTAGACATAGCAAAACTAGCATCCCCAAGCTTAGGGTCTTGCATACAATTGACATCAAGAGAATTTATAACATCATTGCAATCATGCTTTTCATCAAAGGAACTATCAAGTATGGGTGCAATAGCAACGATCTCATGTTTAACATAAGGAACTATAGCAAATTCATCTTCATAAATATTGGCATCATGGCCACAAGAATAGAAACCATCATGTTCATCAAGGGATATTTCAATCAAATCATGGGAATCATAATTATCTATAGGTTCATGCATATCATTATTTTCTTCCAAAGCAATGGTCATTCTTCCAAGAAATTCTTTGACATAGACATTATGAGCATAGTTTTCATAGCAATATTTAAGTATGTCAAAAATTTTAGATTCGTAGAGAGTAATATCATACATTTCAATCAAAGAAGCAACTTCATAAGCACCCTTAAAAGCAACAAATTCTTCAATTTGTTCGATATCATAGTAACTATAAACACCCTTTGCATAAGAAGATAAGATTTCATTATCATTAAACTCACACAGGTAGGGAAGGTGTTTTTTAGGGTTCTTAGAGCAACAGGTAAAATCATAAATTTCACAAAGATTCCAAGCATAACACAACAAACGGTTTATTTGATCCCATAAGAGTACCCCTTTTTGAGACACACGATGACGCACAAAATGAGCATGCTCATCTAAAGATCTTCCCTCAACTAAACTAGTTGGGTTTCAGCACGAGCACATAAGGATCGAAGATGATCCAAGTAAAACACTTTAAGTGGATCCATATCAGTAGATTTTTTGCAAGCAAAGATGCAAGCACATAGAAGGCACATGGAGACACAAGCAAACATAAGATCGAACAAAAGAAGGGCGAAGAAAAGGCAAAGGTGAAGTGGGGGAGAGGAAAACGAGAGGCAAATGGCAAATAATGAAATACGAGGGAGAAGAGTTTGTGATGGGTACTTGGTATGTCTTGACTTGTGCGAAGACCTCCCCGGCAACAGCGCCAGAAATCCTTCTTGCTACCTCTTGAGCACTGCGTTGGTTTTCCCTTGAAGAGGAAAGGGTGATGCAGCAAAGTAGCGTAAGTATTTCCCTTAGTTTTTGAGAACCAAGGTATCAATCTAGTAGGAGGCTACACGCAAGTCCCTCGTACCTACACAAACAAACAAGAACCTCGCAACCAACGTGATAAAGGGGTTGTCAATCCCTTCATGGCCACTTGCTAAAGTGAGATCTGATAGAGATAATAATAAGATAAATATTTTTAGTATTTTTATGATATAGATTGGAAAGTAAAGATTGCAAAATAAAGTAGATCGGAAACTTATATGATGGAAAATAGACCCGGGGGCCATAGGTTTCACTAGTGGCTTCTCTCAAGATAGCATAAGTATTACGGTGGTGAACAAATTACTGTCGAGCAATTGATAGAAAAGTGCATAGTTATGAGAGTATCCAGGCACGATCATGTATATAGGCATCATGTATGCGACAAGTAGATCGAATCGATTCTGCATCTACTACTATTACTCCACACATCGACCTCTATCCAGCATGCATCTAGAGTATTAAGTTCATAAGAACAGAGTAACGCATTAGGCAAGATGACATGATGTAGAGGGATAAACTCAAGCAATATGATATAAACCCCATCTTTTTATCCTCGATGGCAACAATACAATAGGTGCCTTGCTTCCCCTGCTGTCATTGGTAAAGGACACCGCAAGATTGAACCCAAAGCTAAGCACTTCTCCCATTGCAAGAAAGATCAATCTATTAGGCCAAACCAAACTGATA